AAACACGCGGTACCAGTTCGGGACCACCATGTTAGATACCCACCTGGGTAGCCTGCACATGTGAAAACACGTGGTTCCAGCGCGGGGCCACCATGTTAGATACACCCTCTGGGCGACCTGGGCACGTGAAAACACATGGTTCCAGCGCGGGACCACCATCTTAGACAGCCCCTGGGTGGCCTCGACAAGTGAAACACGTGGTTCCAGCTCGGGACCAAAATGTTAGATACCCACCTGTGTGGCCTGTACACGTGAAAACATGTGGTTCCAGCGCAGGACCACCATGTTAGATACCCACCTGTGCGGCCTGGACACGGGAAACGTGGTACCAGCTCGGGACCACCATGTTAGATACCCACCTGGGTGCCCTGGACACGTGAAGCGACCTGGTTCCAGCTCGGGCAGAACATGTTAGATACCCCCCTGTGTGGCCAAGGAAATCCTGGAAACACAAACGAATTAGTCGAGATATCCTCTAAATTCCTGCGTGCGCGCGTGACGCGGCACGCGAGAGACATCCTCGGAATTCCTGCGCGCGGAACGCTTTTCCGAGTCGCGGTCGGGGCTCCAGACCTGGTTTTTGTTCGAGGATTCTGCTAAAAAGCCCCGCACCCATTTTTCAATACAAAGGAGAACGGTGGTCCGCGGACACCGTTATTTATCAAGGATCCGAGATGGGGGACAAATTGTCCGCGAGGGGGCCGCAAAAAACGCACTTGTTCAACTGAAAATTCACACTTTACTCCGCCGGCCCTAGAGCCGACCGGCCCTAGAGCCATCAAAACCGGGGGTAAACCTACTAAAAGAACCCTGGGCCGGAGCCCTTTCCGGGAAAAAAAGGATGAGGAGGGGGGGGGAGAAGTGGGCGGATAGAGAGAGAGGGAGGGACGGGGGACGGGTGTGGGAAATGCGGAGGAGGAGGAGGAGGAGGAGGAGAAGCACTGAGGAGAGAAGGGGGGAATAGGAGTCACAAGCTGATGTGGCTGCCCCGAGGTAAGACCATATAGTTGTTCTGTAGACCATGCGGTGCTTGCTGTCGGCCAGACGGGGATTTCTGATCACCCGAGCGGATCAGAGGGCCCTGACAACTGTCGACCCCTTTGAACGAACAAGAAGCTGAAGGAGGGAGAGGGGGAGAAGATTAAGGAAGGTGGGAAGGAACCAGGGAGGAGGGTAACGCGAGGGAGGGAGAAGGGAAGATGCAGGAGGGAAAGCCGTTATGCCCGCAAAACGCCCTGGGACCTTCGAGCACCTCCTTCTCATCGATCTCCTCCTCCTCCTCCCTCCTCCTCCTCCTCCTCCTCCTCCTCCTCCTCCTCCTCCTCCTCCTCCTCCCTCCTCCTCCTCTGCCTCCTCATCCTCATCCTCATGGCCCTCCTCCTCCTCCACCTCCTCCTCATCCTCCTCCGCCTCCTCCTCATTATCCTCATCCCCCATCCCTGCGTCTTCAGCTTCCTCCTCGTCCTCCTCCTCCTCCACTTACTGGTCCCCTCGTATTCTTCATTTCCGTCATGATCATCATCATAATCAGCATCAGCATCAGCATCAGCATCAGCATCATCATCATCACCACCATCATCATCATCATCGTCATCATCGTCATCATCATCATCATCATCATCATCATCATCATCATCATCATCAGCATCATCATCATCATCATCATCATCATCATCATCATCATCATCATCAGCAGCATCATCATCATCATCATCATCATCATCATCATCATCATCATCAGCACAAGGCCGCCGCCCGCTCAAGCCTTCGGTGACACAGCGGTCCCCTCAGAAGAGCCCTCCATTGTTCGCCAAGAGGCAGAGAGCACACTGCGATGGCAGCTCGCACGGATGCCAGCTCCGGAGGTGCGCCTCGTGCGGCTTGCATGCTGAGGCCGGTTGAGGAGGCTTCCCACAAGTGGGAGCAGCACTGCAAGAACAAGCCGCTGCTTATGCGCCACACATCCAACGAGCACACCGAGCAGCAGCTCAAGCAGTTCGACGGCGCCGAGAAGAGAAAGCTGGTGGCGGTAAAGGCGGAGCACGAGCTGCTTACGAAGTTATTGGCAGTGGTGCGGCGCAACCAAGACGATAAGGTGTACGACAACCACAAGATCGAAACCAAGGGTCAGGTTGCCATCGTCATGGGGAACTACCACCTCGCTTGCGCAACTTACCGAGCGAAGTCCAAAGTCGAGTATCACTTCCAGTGCCACCGCTGCGACGATGGCATGGTGCGCATCTTCTTGCATACTGTCAAAGGGAGCTACTACTTCACTTGTGCCGCCAACGGAGAGCAGTCCAACATCGTGTACATCGTTGAGTACCACGGCTGCGACGACGGCAACGTGCACATCTTCTTGCACTTTCGTTCCGCGCAGTTCGTGCTCTCGCAGAAGGAGTCCGAGAAATCACAGCAGGAGAACCTGAAGGCGGAGCACGAGCCGCGCACGAAGCTCATGAACGAGGCGCGGGGGGACACACTCAAGGATGACGTTGCCAACATCGCTGGAGCGGAGCAGTACCACGAGAGGCACTGCGACGAGCCCTTCGCCGACATCATGCGTTACGGAGGCACTACGACGAGCCCTTCGCCAAGACTACGCGCTACAGAGTGGAACAGTACCACGGGAGGCACTACGACAAGCCCTATGTCGACATCATGCGCTACGGAGTGGAGTTGTCCCGCAGGAGGCACTACGACAAGCCCTTCGCCGACATCATGCGCTACGGAGCGGAGCAGTACCACGGGAGGCACTACGACAAAGGAGCGTGCCGAAGGGCGCGCGCCGCCAGTCTCAGCAACTTCTGTCTTCGCTTCTAGGCCAGACCCGCAGGCAGCTGCCGACTCGGGGTCGGCAGGACGTGCGCAGCCAGTCCTAGAAGACTCAGAGCTGGAGCATGCCGCAGGGCGTGCGCCGCCAGTCCTAGAAGACTCAGAGCTGGAGCATGCCACAGGGCGTGCGCCGCCAGTCTCAACAGCTTCTGTCTTCTTGTCTGGGCTAGCCGACTCGAGGGTGGCAGGGCGTGCGTTGCCAGTCTCAGCAGACTCAGAGCAGGAGCATGCCGCAGGGCGTGTGCCGCCAGTCCTAGAAGACTCAGAGCTGGAGCATGCCGTAGGGCGTGCGCCGCCAGTCTCAGCTGTTTCTGTCTTCTTTTCTGGGCCAGCAGACTCGGGGTCGGCAGGGCTGGCACAGCCAGACTCTGCAGCTTCATTCCCTGCGACTGGACCAGGCGGCCGAGCAGCTGCCGACTCGGTGTCAGCCCATCTTGAAGGGCCCGAGGGCCCACGCGATCAGCTCTCGAATCCGTGAGCTATCCGGATGCAAGCATGAGTCCCCCCTGAGCAGATTCGAGATGATTGGCCTCACGACGGGGCTTGCATGGCCAGCCTGAGCCACGGTCTCTTCTCCAACCTCCGAGCACGGCTCCTGGCGAGCTCTTTAGGGGGGAATCGAGCTCTCTGCAACGGATCACGTTGTTCTCTAAAACCTGTTGCTCAACAGTTTGGTCCTGATGTCGGGGAAAAACATCGTCAACATCAGCATCGTCGTCAGCAGCATCAGCATCCTCAACATCATCGTCCTCAGCAGCATCAGCATCAGCAACAGCATCATCATCAACATCAGCATCGTCATCAGCATCATCAACATCACCATCATCATCAGCATCATCATCATCAACAACATCAGCATCATCATCAGCATCATCAGCATCATCAGCGTCATCATCATCAGCAGCATCATCAGCATCACCAGCATCATCAGCGTGCCCACCATCATAATCAGTATCATCATCAGAATCAGCATCATCATCAGCATCGTCATCCTCGTCGTGGCCAGCATCATCACCAGCATAAGCACCATCAGCATCACCATCCTCAGGTTCAGAATCAGCGTCGTCAGCGGCATCATCATCAGCATCATCAGCACCAGCATCAACATCATTATCGGCATCAGCATCATCGTAATCGGCATCATACCCACCATCATAATCAGTATCACCATCATTATCAGCATCAGCCTCATCATCATCAGCATCATCATCGTCGTAATCAGCATCATCAGCGGCATAAGCATTATCAGCATCACCATCCTCATACTCAGCATCAGCATCGTCAGCAATATCATCATCAGAATCAGCATCATCAGCACCAGCATCATCGTCATCATCGTCGGCGTCATCATCGTCATCATCAGCAGCAGCGGCATCATGAACAGCAGCATCGCCATCATCCCCATCATCTGCTACCGTCGTCTTCACTATCATCATCAGCATCATCAAAATCCTCAACCATAGACATAGTCATCAGCATCATCAATTGCATCAGCATCAGCAGAAGCATCATCATCGCCATAATCATCATCATCAGCATCACCAATCCCATGAGCAGGAAGACCAGCATCATCATCTGCAGCAGCGTCACCAGTAGCATCACCAACGACAACTGCAAACAAACAAGCAAAAAAAAAAAAAAAAAAAAAAAAAAAAAAAAAAAGGCAGCAACAACAACAACTACTACTACAGCACCATCAACAACAACAGCAATATACCACCAGCATCAGCAACCACAACAACCACACTAGCAATAACAGTAGCAACAACAGCAACACCAAAAACCTCAACATCATCACCATCGTCATCATCATCATCATCATCATCATCATCATCATCATCATCATCATCATCATCATCATCATCATCATCATCATCATAACCGTCATCATCACCACCGTTAGCATTGTCATCATTAACAGCAGGACTACAAACGTTATCATCATCATTCGCAACAACAACAGCGACAGCAACCAAAAAATGCTACAACCACAAAAACGACAACAGCAACAGCAGCAGCAACAACGACACATTATCCTCCTACTCCATCCTTCCCTCCACCCCCCTCGTCCCTTTTCCAGCCCCCACCCCACCCACCCTCTCCTTCCCGCCCTCTCTCCCTTCCTCCTCCCTCCCTCCCGTCCTTGGAGGGGGAGAAGAGGGCACATCCTGTCTCGGCCTTGGGCTTCGTCCGCGAGGATCTGCGCCGCGATCCACTCAACCAGTTCCACGCGAGCGCACCTTGAGTGGGCCGCGGCTGGGCGAAGGCAGCACCGCATCCCCCTCCGCTCCCCTCCCTCCCTCAATCACTTCATTCTTGCCTACTCGAAGAGCGGAGATTTCCGCGCTGACCATTTCCACGCCATGGGGGAACTTGTATCTGAATGTCAAGCCCCCACTCGCACTGGCTAGTAGTACATCGGCGTACTCGAGAAGAGTCGAGACCCTGGCCACACGAAGCTGATACAAGAGGCACGCGTGTCAAGGATCATACAATCACGGATGCTGGACACTGGGAGATAAAACTGGCGCCAACCTGTGGTAGTTTCGGGAAAACGCGCGAGTGCTGCGACACGCTGCACTATGGCGTGAAGAACATGTTATGTCACTGTGAGCTGTGGCTCTATGCCTCTTCGGAGCCATGATGTTCTTGGGAATATCTGGGGTTTATTGGGGTCTTGTGTGGACCCGTCTGGGGCTCTTTTGGCCTGTCTTGGGGCAATATTGAACTGTCCTGAAGTCTTTTTGCCCCATCGTGGGGACTCGGGGGGGGGCCAGGGCACGGCCAGAGCGAGGAGGGCACGGTCGGTCGGTCAGAATAAGCAGGCGGGGGGGGGCACGGGGCGGAAGGGACGTGACAGGGGGGTGGCCGGGGAGACGGGAGGGGGGGGAACGGTCGGTCGGCGGGGGCCACGGGGCGGAGGGGGAGGCACGGTCTGTCGGCCGGTCGGAATAAGCAATTGGAGGCCACGGGGCAGAGGAGAGGGGCACGGTCGGTCGGTCGGAATAAGCAGACGGGGGCTACGGGGCGGAGGGGAGCGGGGGGGAGCAGGGGGCGGGAGGGCACGGTCGGGCAAATAGGGGGCACGATCGGTCGGTCGGTCGGAATAAACGACGGGGGCCACGGGGCGGAAGGGGGAAGCATGGTCAGTCGGTCTGTCGGAACAATAAGCAGACGGGGGCCACGGGGCGGAGGAGGGGGGGGCACGGTCGGTCGGTCGGTCGGAATAAGCAGGCGGGGGCCACAGGGCGGAGGGGCGCGGGGGGGAGCACGGGGGAGAGAGGGCACGGTCGGGCGGGGGGGGGGGCACGGTCGGTCGGTCGGTCGGAAACATGATCGACCCACGAACCCGGAAAGGAATATAGAAAAGTAAGGCGTGGCAACGTTTCAAAGACACTTGATTGGGCGGGCGACGGGCAAACGCAGTGCTGAGTGTATCGATATTGATGTACCGTGCCGAAGGCTGTGCTGTGCTGCGCCGTGCTGAACTGCGATGTGCCATGCCGCGATTGTGCTCTATAGCGTTGTGGATCGAGTCCTCCGTTGCATCCGAGTCCTGACCGAACTGATCTGGATCTTAAGCTCGAGCTGCCTCAGCACATAGTAGCTGCTCCAGAGCAAATTAACAGGGGGACATGCCAGGAGGACGCGCCGCGCAACGTCCCAAGGGACGCGCCAGGCGACGTGCCAGGGGACGTACCACGGGGACGCACCGCGGGACGTGCCGAGGGGACGCGCTACGCAACGTGCCAATGGACGTGCAACGGGAAGTGCCAGAGGACGCGCCGCGCGACGTGCCAGGGGGGCTCGCCACGGGACGCGCCACGGAACGTGCCAAGGAACGTGCCAGGTTGCAATGCTGAGTGTATCGATCTTGATGTACCGTGCCGAGGGCTGTGCTGTGCTGCGCCGTGCTGAACTGCGATGTGCCATGCCGCGATTGTGCTCTATAGCGTTGTGGATCGAGTCCTCCGTTGCATCCGAGTCCTGACCGAACTGATCTGGATCTTAAGCTCGAGCTGCCTCAGCACATAGTAGCTGCTCCAGAGCTAATTAACAGGGGGACATGCCAGGAGGACGCGCCGCGCAACGTCCCAAGGGACGCGCCAGGCGACGTGCCAGGGGACGTGCCACGGGGACGCACCGCGGGACGTGCCGAGGGGACGCGCTACGCAACGTGCCGACGTGCGCAACGTGCCGTTGCAATGCTGAGTGTATCGATCTTGATGTACCGTGCCGCTGTGCTGTGCTGCGCCGTGCTGAACTGGCCATGCCGCGATTGTGCTCTATAGCGTTGTGGATCGAGTCCTCCGTTGCATCCGAGTCCTGACCGAACTGATCTGGATCTTAAGCTCGAGCTGCCTCAGCACATAGTAGCTGCCCCAGAGCTAATTGACAGGGGGACATGCCAGGAGGACGCGCGCGGAACGTCCCAAGGGACGCGCCAGGCGACGTGCCAGGGGACGTGCCACGGGGACGCACCGCGGGACGTGCCGAGGGGACGCGCTACGGAACGTGCCAATGGACGTGCAACGGGAGTGCCAGAGGACGCGCCGCGCGACGTGCCAGGGGGGCTCGCCACGGGACGCGCCACGGAACGTGCCAACACGTGGTTGCAATGCTGAGTGTATCGATCTTGATGTACCGTGCCGAGGCTGTGCTGTGCTGCGCCGTGCTGAACTGCGATGTGCCATGCCGCGATTGTGCTCTATAGCGTTGTGGAGCGAGTCCTCCTTTGCATCCGAGTCCTGACCGAACTGATCTGGATCTTAAGCTCGAGCTGCCTCAGCACATAGTAGCTGCTCCAGAGCTAATTAACAGGGGGACATGCCAGGAGGACGCGCCGCGCAACGTCCCAAGGGACGCGCCAGGCGACGTGCCAGGGGACGTGCCACGGGGACGCACCGCGGGACGTGCCGAAGGGACGCGCTACGCAACGTGCCAATGGACGTGCAACGGGAAGTGCCAGAGGACGCGCCGCGCGACGTGCCAGGGGGGCTCGCCACGGGACGCGCCACGGAACGTGCCAAGGAACGTGCCAGGTTGCAATGCTGAGTGTATCGATCTTGATGTACCGTGCCGAGGGCTGTGCTGTGCTGCGCCGTGCTGAACTGCGATGTGCCATGCCGCGATTGTGCTCCATAGCGTTGTGGATCGAGTCCTCCTTTGCATCCGAGTCCTGACCGAACTGATCTGGATCTTAAGCTCGAGCTGCCTCAGCACATAGTAGCTGCCCAGAGCTAATTAACAGGGGGACATGCCAGGAGGACGCGCCGCGCAACGTCCCAAGGGACGCGCCAGGCGACGCGCCAGGGGACGTGCCACGGGGACGCACCGCGGGACGTGCCGAGGGGACGCGCTACGCAACGTGCCAATGGACGTGCAACGGGAAGTGCCAGAGGACGCGCCGCGCGACGTGCCAGGGGGGCTCGCCACGGGACGCGCCACGGAACGTGCCAAGGAACGTGCCAGGTTGCAATGCTGAGTGTATCGATCTTGATGTACCGTGCCGAGGGCTGTGCTGTGCTGCGCCGTGCTGAACTGCGATGTGCCATGCCGCGATTGTGCTCTATAGCGTCGTGGATCGAGTCCTCCTTTGCATCCGAGTCCTGACCGAACTGATCTGGATCTTAAGCTCGAGCTGCCTGAGCACATAGTAGCTGCCCCAGAGCTAATTGACAGGGGACATGCCAGGAGGACGCGCCGCGCAACGTCCCAAGGGACGCGCCAGGCGACGTGCCAGGGGACGTGCCACGGGGACGCACCGCGGGACGTGCCGAGGGGACGCGCTACGCAACGTGCCAATGGACGTGCAACGGGAGTGCCAGGGACGCGCCGCGCGACGTGCCAGGGGGGCTCGCCACGGGACGCGCCACGGAACGTGCCAAGGAACGTGCCAGGTTGCAATGCTGAATGTATCGATCTTGATGTACCGTGCCGAGGCTGTGCTGTGCTGCGCCGTGCTGAACTGCGATGTGCCATGCCGCGATTGTGCTCTATAGCGTTGTGGAGCGAATCCTCCGTTGCATCCGAGTCCTGACCGAACTGATCTGGATCTTAAGCTCGAGCTGCCTCAGCACATAGTAGCTGCTCCAGAGCAAATTAACCGGGGGACATGCCAGGAGGACGCGCGGCGCAACGTCCCAAGGGACGCGCCAGGCGACGTGCCAGGGGACGTGCCACGGGGACGCACCGCGGGACGTGCCGAGGGGACGCGCTACGCAACGTGCCAATGGACGTGCAACGGGAAGTGCCAGAGGACGCGCCGCGCGACGTGCCAGGGGGGCTCGCCACGGGACGCGCCACGGAACGTGCCAAGGAACGTGCCAGGTTGCAATGCTGAGTGTATCGATCTTGATGTACCGTGCCGAGGGCTGTGCTGTGCTGCGCCGTGCTGAACTGCGATGTGCCATGCCGCGATTGTGCTCCATAGCGTCGTGGATCGAGTCCTCCGTTGCATCCGAGTCCTGACCGAACTGATCTGGATCTTAAGCTCGAGCTGCCTCAGCACATAGTAGCTGCCCCAGAGCTAATTAACAGGGGGACATGCCAGGAGGACGCGCCGCGCAACGTCCCAGGGGACGCGCCGGGCGACGCGCCAGGGGACGTGCCACAGGGACGCACCGCGGGAGGTGCCGAGGGGACGCGCTACGCAACGTGCCAATGGACGTGCCACCTCATGCTGGACATCCACCTGGGCGAACTGGACACGTGAAAACAGGAGGAGGAGGGGGGGGGGGAGGAGGAGGAGGAGGAGGAGGAGGAGGAGGAGGAGGAGGAGGGAGGAGGAGGAGGAGGAGGAGGAGGAGGAGGAGGAGGAGGAGGAGGAGGAGGAGGAGGAGGAGGGGGAGGTGGGGGAGGGGGTGAAAACAGGTGGCTCCCTCGAGACATCCTCAGCACATCTTCGTGTTAGACGTCCGCTCCAGGCCCCCCGGAAGGCCCCAGAGGAGGCCTATGTTAGATACCCCCTATAGGTGGCCTGGACACGCTAAAGCACCTGGCTCCGCCATGCTAAATACGCATCTGGGCAGCCTGGACACGTAAAAACGTGGGTGCCAACTCGGGACAATCATGTCAGATACACCCCTGGGTGGCCCGGACACGTTAAAACTTGGACACATAAAAACACTTGTTTCAAGTTCGGGACAACCATGTTAGATACCCCCTGGGTGGCCTGGACACGTGAAAACACGCGGTACCAATTCGGGACAACAATGTTAGATACCCCACTGGGTTGCCTGGACACGGAAAAACACGTGGTTCCAGCTCAGGACAACCATGCTAGATACCCCCCTTGGGCGTGCCAAAGTTTTCAAACCATCCACTGATTGGGTTTTTTCTCTGGTGCGATGGCATGCTCGCCTTTTCGGGCATCCCTCGGTTCGAAACGGCCCAAAAAGAGGCCTCCAAGATAGACGACCTCAGAAGGCCCGTCGACGGAACCCAGGAACCTGGAACCGAGAACCCAGGAACCCAGCCGGCGACCAAAATCGGCGGGAAACTTTCGCCAAACCTTTCAATATCCGCTAGGACCCCTTCAGTGCAAGCACTGATTGGGGAATGTGCGATGGCTGATAGACGGTTTCATTGAAGATGGGCCCAGCTCCCCTGGCCCTCGCTCTCGAGCCCCGTGCATTTGACTTACCAATGGGGGGAGGAGGAGGAGGAGGAGGAGGACGGAAAGGAGGCGGAGGAGGAGGAAGAAGATGAAGAGGAGGAAAGAGGAAGAGGAGGAGTATGGTGATGGTTTGTCTGGTCCGTCTGGAGAGTGAGTCTGGACAGGGAAGAGCGCGCGCGCACCCCCTGCCCAATGAGCTCAACAAGGGGGGAGGGGCTACCCCCCAGGGGTGCGGGGGGAGGCCGCCCAGTTCCTCACAGGGAGCGACGGCAGCATCTCTGGGCCTCATCAACGAGGACGAGGAGGCGAGGTTCAACAAACACCTGACCCGCTCGGGGGCTCCGAAGTCTCTGGGAGGGCGCCCGCGGACCTCGGGAGACGCCCAGAGGCCTCTGGACCTCTGGAGGCCCGCGGAGCTGCGCGGCCGCGCGCCTGACCAGGAAGATCATCTGCGAGCAGTCGGTCTGCACCACCTGGGTGGGGGGGAGCCGCGGAGAGCAGGCACGAGGGCGTCAGGCGGCGGCAACAGAGGTCCAGGCGGGGGTGGGGCGCCTGCTACACGGTTTCACGTCACGAGGCGGGAGATCAGGAGACATCGAATCGTCGGAGCTCTGGGGTGGAGATGGACTGGAAGACTGGAAGGCTGAGAGCCTGCAAGGTCCCTGCCCGCGTCGACGGGCGCAAGTCGAAGCTCAGCCCTCCTCTTGATGGGGGCTCGAACAGGATGCCTCCCTCCTCGACACCCGCGACCACATAGCTCGGTGACACAACACTGGGGTGGAGAAGGGAGGAGAGAAAAGGAAGGACAGAGGAGGATGGGAGGGAGGGAGGGGAGGAGGAACAATCTTCAAACGCCAAACTGCGAACTGAAAGCAGCAACTGCATATACCCATACCTGCATTTCCAGTTTGGGTTGCAGTGCGCGGGCGCCCAATATCTCGACCTCTTCCCGAGAGCAATTCTTGGTGGTCGCGCATCGGTGTCTGGTGGCCCAAGAGGCCGACAACGGACCCCAGAGAACAAAATGTGGCAACAAACATCCGGCTTGAGACGTTGCAGACACCGAAGGGCTGGGAACACCACCACCACCACCACTCGGCGGTGCGCCCATGGGGGGGAGGCAGAGGGAGCGGGCCTTCTCGTAAGGCTCAGAAGGCCTGTGGCCTTCTGAGAAGCGCTCTGAGCCTTCTCCGAAGACGTAGAGGGGTTCTCAGAAGGCCCGAAGGCTTTTGAAATGCCCCGCCGCCGTCTGAGAAGGCCTGCACCCCCTCGCACTTCCCCCCCTCGGCGCGCGCCAGGCAGTGCCGGGCCGGGATCACCTCTGGCAAACTCCGAGATGTCTTTGGAGAATTCTAAAGGAACCGATACCGCTACTCCCCGGACCTCTCCCGGGGTGCGTTCTGACCAGAATTTCGAGGCGAATCCGACGGTGGCGACGAGGGCCTCCGAGGAGGCCCAAAAAGGGGAAAACGAGGAAAGGGTAGAGGTATGGGCACCTTTTCCTCCTCTGAGTCCTGCCTGCGACCACGACCGCACCTGCGGGTGTGCCCATGGCGGCAGACTTAAGTCGGGCGTGTCCCCCTACAGGGGAATTTTCAACGAAAAATGAGAAATACCCCCAAAAGAATCAAAAAATAGTCCAAAAATAGTCTGGGGACTATTTTTGGAGTATTTGTTGACCTTTGTGGAGCAATTTTGGGGTATTTTTTATTTTTCGTCGAAAATCCCCCTGTAGGGGGACACGCCCAACATAACAGCAGACCCGGGCCTCGGAGGACGTCGGGGGTGCCACTGGGGGACCTCGGAAGCCTCCTGGGAGGCCAGCAGTGGCCGTCGCCGACCGCCCCCCCCGCAGGGCGGCAGGGTGGGGCTCGCAGGGCCAGGATGCGCGGAGGACAGCGGAGGAGTGCAGAGAATCCACCCCGAGAAGAACCGCCCCGACACGCGAGGCCTTTAGTGGAGGCCTGGAAATTGGCACCAACACCAGCACAGCGGGGTGCCTCCACAGGGGGAAGATGATCCTGGATTTCGGTGTTGGTGGTAATATTTCGGCCACCTTGGAAGCCAGAATATTGCCACCATCACCGAGATCGGGATCTTCTTCCCTCGGCACACCGCCGATATTGGTGTTGGTGTCAGCCTCTAGGCCTTCGACTTTAGCAAACGCGCCCGAAGCGGGCATCGAGCAGGGCGGAGCTGTGTAATAAAAACGCCCAGGGCAGTTGCCTAAAACGCCAATTGTCCGGTCCGGGTGGTTATTCCTCCCGTGACCAAGGGGCTCAAGGCTAGGGTGGCGCGCTCCATGCAGCCCCACCGCTGGCGCCCCCATCGCCAAGGGCGCAGCCATGGGGCTGCTCCGGGCATTGCACCCGGGACCGCTCGCGCCCGAAGCGAGAGCCATGCCACTGGGCCAGGCAGCCAGCTGGCAACGGGGCGCTTCCCACCCCTCGTTCCTGCACATCCGCCTCCTGGACCTCGTCCTCCTGGCCCCTCTGGGTATAGCTTTCGCCGCCCGACGCGAAGGGCCAAGAGCGCTCCAACAGTCCATCTTCGAGACTCGAGGCCCAGAGATCCGATGTCTTGATCTGTTCACTACGAGGTCCCCCTGAAGGCAAGACCCTTCCACCCCCCCAGGGCGGGTTTTTCGTCAAGCGCCGTCTTTGGACGGTCGGGGAGGGCACGCACAGGCCGCACTGGTTCTCCAATACGCCGGAGCAGCGTGTTGCCAGAGGGTGCCATGGCCCGAGGTGGCCCCGGACGATCCGAGGAGGCCCGGCCTCCAGAGCACCTCTCGCGACCGAGGGCCCCAGGGGTCCCAAAACGGCGCGACCAGCTGGGGAGCACCCTGAAGGGCAACGATGGGGGGGGGCTGGCAGAAGGGGGGAAAACATCGACCTGGAGTCGGCGAAACGTCGCCGATAGATCGACGATGGCGATAGGCCCCCGATGGTGCATCCGCACGTTCCTGGGGTCAGCCATCGGGACCCTCTCGGCAATGAGCGGGGGACTGGGAGTCGATGCGTCCCCCCATGAACCCATGCCCCCCTGTCGTTGTCCCTGAGCTGGAGAGGGGGGAGGGCACCTCGGGCCGGGGCCACCTCCAGCAGCACCCGGCGGAGGTCTGCGAGGGAGCGAGCGCGGCGCCTGGTCGGTCAGTTTGTACCAGCTCTGCACACCGTGGTCCTCGGAGGTCCCCGCGGCCAGCCAAGGCCGCCAGCTGCCAGTGGCCGCGCTCGCGGGGTTCCTCCTCCACGTCGCCCCCACTCTACCCTTTCTTCCACCTCTTCCTCCACATCCTGGTCCTCCAACTCATCACTCCTCATGTCATCCTAACCCTCATCCTCTCACCTCATCCCTCCTTCCTCTCCTCCTCCTCCTCCTCCTCCTCCTCCTCCTCCTCCTCCTCCGTCCCGTCCGCCTCCTCCTCCTCCTCCTCCTCATCCTCCTCTTCCTCCTTATCTTCCCCATCCAGACGATCACGGGATGGTCATGCGGCGCCTCTTCGAAATTGGTCGGTGAAACTATCGCGCCAAGAACGGCCGACGAGAGTCTGAGGCGGAGGAGGCTGTGGCCGGCGTAAGTCCAGCATGACAACTGACACATCGCGTTGGGGCCGCAGAGGCCCCGTAGAGCCAGCACAACACGTAAGTCCACATACTACATGGGTGTCGGTGCTGCGCTGACACGATGGCAGGCTGACCGCAGACGGCTGGATGTCCTGCTTGATGCTGTCAAGATGTAGTGCGTTTGCCGTTTGCCCGCACAGCATGCAATTGGCTTGACATCCCCTAGGACATCAAAAACGATGAGAGAATCTACACAGAAGTGCTTACTGAAACCTTGAGACGAAGTAGTGCTAGGTTTTCCGTCGGATACACGTCGAACCTCGTTCACAAATATTCGGCATGGTCACCGGATCGAACTTGTTGAACTGCAGTATGATCCGGCGCACGCCTTGACATATCAACAAAAAAACAGCCCGACTGGCGTACCGTGTCTGCCGAAATGCAATGTTTGACACATAGATGACAAGGATATAAACAAGCCTGAAGGTCCGCAATGCATCGACCTGCTGGCCAGCTTGAAACTGGCGGCTCACTGCCAACTCCAGGCCGAGATTGAAATCGAGACGAGTCTCCCCCTCGTTATCCTCGCCTCGCCACGTGCGTCCCTTGAAAAAGCTCAAACCAAGGGTGGCGTCGAAAGCGAAGCCGAGGTGCGCGTTAGGTTCATCTGATGTCGAAATACCACGACGGGCTTGTCAACAGTCTCAAAATATTTTGGGCTCAGTGGGTCGAAGTAGGAAGCAGTTATGACGTTCAGGCGCACATGGTCTCCGTCCAGCCTTCGATATATCTTGAAATGCTGGTAATTGCCGCTGTACCCCTGCAGGACTCGGCTCGAGAACGTAACCTGCCGCCGGCACTCGCTTGAGAAGAAGAGGTCGGGGTCACTTGGTGGAGACTCCGAGTCGCGTGCGTTAACAAAGACCTCCACACGCTCTGCGTTCTTGCTGCCCTGTATGGCAACGGTCCAGCGATTCGGGTCCTTCTCGGGCATGTAGTCCACGCGGCTGACGCTCTTGTTGCCACCCAGATGGGCGCTCACAGAAGATCTGATGTTAAATGGCAAATCTTCCACCAGCACGCCTTGCTCCCTGACATAACGCGACTCATACATGACGCTTGGCTTGCCAACGTCCGCGAAATCGATGATAGAGCAAACTTTGAAACCAGGAGTATCTTCTTCGCGAATGACAGTCTCCCGGGCGACAACAGGAAATGCAGCAGAATTAAAACTCTGCTCTACAAGCCAAGTGCCTTCTAGCCATTCCGGATACGTCTGCTGTCGAGGCGGTATGTTAAAGATGGGGGACTTCAGCTCTTGTAGATCGCGCTGGGCAAGCCGGGCACGAAGCCCAATATATCCTTCTGCGACAGCTGGTGCAGGCCGACTCGTTGACAAAAGCCCTGCAACGGTTGCATGAACAGTGAATCTTCGTGACGATGAGGCCAACGCGACTGCTGGTTCGGGCTGATATGGTGGTGCGGCTGGTCGAGCAGAATGCAAGGCATCGTGCGAATTGGCAAACTGACCTGTTATTGTAGCCCGGCGACCACCGTGAAGGCAGAGAAGCCTCTGGGAGACTCTGCTGACAGGGCCATAGGCAAAGTTAGTGGCAGGTGATGGCGGAATCTTGCTGCTGAGCCTCCCACACGGCTGTAGCAACCACAGCAGCCACACAAAGGCAGTCAAACTTGAGGCACGTCTCAAATTCGCAGGCCCAACGGGCCAGAGGCTAACAACGTACACTATTTCTACTTCGCGCGCGCGGAGCGGCCACTGGGGGTCCCCGGACGAAAAATACCCCGGGCGGTCCCTGACCGGTTCGGGTCTGAGATCCCCGGCCGGGTCGGGTCGGGTGGGCGTCCAGAAAGCCCCAAGAAGGGTAAAGAGGCCCCGAAGAGGCCCCCAAGATAAAACAAGAGGGCTCCAAGATGCCACAAGATCGCTCCAAGATGCCCAAGATTGCCCCCAGACGTCCCAAGAGGCTTCCAAAAGCACTCCCAAGAGGACCCCAAGAGGTAAAATTCATTGATTTACCTGATGTTTTGGACAGATTTGGGCGTTTCCCCCTTTTCGGCTTCCCGACGCCTCAAGACGGCCCAAGAGGTCCCCAATATCGCCCCAAGAGGGTCCAAGAAGGCCGCAGGAGAGTTTCAAGACGGCCCAAGGGGGCTCCAAAGGACCGCCCAAGACGACTCCAAGACGGCCCAAGAAGGCCCTAAGAACGCCCCAAGAGAGGCCCCAGAGGGGAAACACGAAACAACAGTTCGAGCCCTCGGCCACAAGCAGCCCCCAGGAGGTCCCCAGAGGGAGGTACCCCCGAGGCCCCAAGAGGCCCCCAACAGGCTGTCAGGAGGCCGCCGAGAGACCCCCAAGGGCCCCAGAAAGGCTCCAGGTTGAGACGTCCCCGAAAGCCTCGGAGAACTCTTAAGAGCTTCCTGTGCACTGCCTCCCCGTGCGCGAAAATGGGCCGGCGGAAAAAGCGAAACGATTAAATAACTTCTGAGTATGGTAGAAATGCGATTCCGACATCTGGCATGCCTCCCTCCTCCTCCTCCTCTTGCAACCGCCAGGGCGTACGTGAAAGCAGCCATGCAGCAGTTGATTCGATCTCACTTGAACCACTGGTTTTGAACCGAGAATGGTTACGGCATTCACTAAATGCTCCTCTGGAAAAGCGGAAAACGGTAATACCATTGCAAGGCGAACCTGAACTTCAGGCGCCAAAACTTTGAACACGCTCGACTACTTCCGCTAGTGACTTGCATGCCGGTCTAGACTTACCCACGCGTGCCTCGAAGACTGCTTCAACACGCATCAGACTCGCCCTGCCGAACGAGCCAACGCCACACTAACTCGCAGGGGGACCCTGATCCGTGCTTGCTCCTGATCAACACTGCGCACACTCCATAGATCGCCAGACACGTGGGCTGCCCTCAAACCCGACGTGCCGTACCCCTTCATGCGAAGTGGGTCTTGGCTGTGGAATACGGGTTCCGCCTGTGTGCTTTCAATTTTCCGGAATGCCCCCCTCTGGGAATGGAGGGCAACTTGGGGCCTTCGGGTTGGGTTGGGGTGGTTTGGTGGGTAATGAAATCCGTGCCTGCGCCTAGTCAGTATCGCGCACCGACGCCATAGATCGCCAGATGCGAGGGCTGCACCCGAAACCAGACGCGCCACACCCCTTCATGCGTAGTGGGCGTTGGCTGTGTGCCAGACGTTGGGGGGGCACTGAGAAGCCTGCCACAAAGACGACCCAAGAGACCGACGACTCAGGACAGACCCCTGCAGAAACAAAACTTGGGCGTTGCTGCATGGGGGAGCGACAACACTTCGGGGGGGGAGGGAAGAAGCGCGCACCTGTCGCCCCCTTGTGAGCCCAGGAGGGCCCCCTTGGGGCCCCTTGAGGGCACGAGAGGCGCAGCTGTCTCCACCCCGCGCCCGAAGAAGCAGCAGCGCACCGCCTGGCTGGAAGTCGACGCGCAAGGGGTTGAGTGCCAAGGGGCCGCGGCCCTCGCCCTTCCAAGCACCAGAAGCAGACCAGCCAGGATCCCGTGGAATCGCGGGACTCTTCGAGTCGTCTAGATCCGTGAGGGTCCCGTGTTGAGGGGCAAGGAACGGGGGACTGGCTCAGGGGGAGGGGGGCATGTTGAGGGGCAAGGAACGGGGGAATGGCTCAGGGGGGGGGGGAACATCGACCCAGAATCGGCGATACATCGTTGATAGATCGGCGATAGGCCCCCGATAGCGAATCCGCACATTCCTGGGCGGGTTGGGCTGGCGGAGCCCTACCGACGATCAATGGGCGATTCGGGGCCGATGCATCCCTATCGTTGCCCCAGATTTCGAAACACCACAAACAAACCGACCAAGACCCACGGAGTCGCAGGATTCTTCGAGCTGGCTCGATCCCGGAGGGGGGGGGGGGGGGCACGTCTCTTGTCTTCTTCGGGGGTGGCACTGGGCGCCCGGGAAGACGGACATGTGCAAGACGCACAATGGAGCACGTGCACTGGCCATTTCACGAGGGCCCCCCTGTGGATGCCACGACAATGGACACCTTAACAGTCCTATCATTGAATTCAAAATGTGTTTAACATTTCGTAAAAATGTTCTAAACCTGATCTAAACATGTTTTTATACATGGTTAAAACAAATTTAACACATGTTTTAGACATCTGGAAAGTATTTGGCAACATGCTTCCTCTCCACTGATCGTCCTCCACAACCCTGGCGGCTCCTTCAGGTCGCTGGCGCTCACTATCACCTCCAGGGGGCCGGTGATCGTGCTGTCCAGCATCAGGACCTTCCGGCCGGTGACCTGCCGGCGAAGCCCACCGACCGAGCCGGCGCGGGCACCCGCTTCTGATCCTCAGCAGTCGGGCGCAGTGGCACTGGATTTACGGGCTCGTGGATCGGGGGCAGCGGCTCCAGGCCCACGGACCGGGGAAGGCACCCCCCCGAAACACGCTGCAGATGCCGCCGGATTCGGCGAGGGGGCGCGCCAGTTCTGCATGGAAGCGGGACCCGCCGCTACTCCACGCGCCCTGACCAAAGAGCCCACAGAGCACGTACGCGCCCAGCCGTGTACATGAATACTCCCCCCGAGTCCGCCAAGCCTGCCTCGTGCACGAACGCTCGCGCAACGCAAACTCTCGACACCCACGTGCCTCTCCCTCAGGGCTGAACCTAAACGGTGCTTTTCGTTTTCGTCTTGTTTTCGATGTCCCTCGCTTGTGTCTCGAGTCCGCCTTGACCGCAAAACGAAGTCGAAACGAAAAACGGCCCACGGCCCTGCTCTCCCTGCTGATAAATGCATGTTTGCGCTTCCTCGAACCAGGAGGGATCGGACCACGGGCTCGGCCCCGGCGTCCGCCACCGCGCGGATCCCCACGGCCTCCGACCCTCCTCCGCTGCGAGAGGGGGGCCCGGGAGCTCACCGGAAGAGCCTTCGGCCCTCAGCACCGCCGCCGTTCCAGGGCGCTCCGGGACGCTCCGATTGCTCTGGAGCAATTTGTCCGCGCCGTGGTCCTGGGCCGGCCCGAGGTGCAGCGGCGCTGCAATGCGCGCGGAGCGGTCTGAACGAGTGATCGGACAAGGGGGCAGACTGGGGTACATCCCTCTGAACAATCCGGGGCGCGTTGTCTTCCTGATCATCCACCCCCTCGCCCATCTCGCCCTCATCTCCTCCTCTTCCCCCATCCCCCTCCACAATTACTCAATATGAATACTACTCTCCCTCTTCTCCTGATAACGGCCTGGGAGTGTCCGACCCCCCCCGCGTACAGTTTGTTTGCACACAGTTTTCCCCGGAGTTGGGTTTTCGTCTGCATGTTGTTTCAAAATGCTGCTCTCGCTGAGGCGCCGGCCTCATTTTCGGGCCCCGCTCGTTCCGAATCGTGCTCCCGCTGCAGCGCTGGCCTCATTTCCGTGCTTCCGCTCGTTCCGAATCGTGCTCCCGCTGCAGCGCTGGCCTCATTTCCGCGCTTCCGCTCGTTTCGACTCGTGCTCCCGCTGCAGCGCTGGCGTCATTTCCCGTGCCATGCCACGGCATGCAATGCAATGCTCGGTTGATACTACGCTTTGCGGTGCTCTTCTACGCCATGCCATGCCGTGCTCTACAATGCATCGCGTACCCTTTCGGGATCATTGCCCTGCTCGACATCCGACTGTGCGAGTAGAGAGGGGATCTGCGCCATGGTAAGGGATGGGAGGGAGGGATAGGATGTCAGATATGACGCGAGCGCACCTAGCTTGACCACCTCCTCCCCGTCTTCCCCATCCTCCTCTTCCTCCTCTCGTCCTCCTCCAAGTCCTCCTCCTCCTCCTCCTCCTCCTCCTCCTCCTCCTCCTCGTCCTCCCCCTCGCCCTCCTCCTCCTTCTCCTCCTCCTCCTCCTCGACCACCTCTGAGGCCCTGCTGAGGCTGCCGCCGACGTGGAGGAGCCGCTGCCCCTGGCAACCCAGGGCCTTGAACGGCTTCTGGCGTTGACCGTTTCTTTATGTTCGGCGATGACGGGCGTCATGGGGGGGGGGGGGGGGGGGGGGGGGGGTATGACGTAACGCCCCCCCCCGCTGTGTGGCTCCGGCACCACAACCGCGCCCGCGCGCCGAGCGACGAGCGACACGCGACGACGACGACGACGCGAGCAGCATGTAGGTGGCGATCTGCCCCACCGCGCCTGTGTACACCACAACCGTCGCGTGCACCACAGCGCGCGTGTACACCACACCGCCTGCGTACATGCCAACAACCGTGTGCAACGCAGCGCCTGTGTACACTGCAATGTTTGCGTACAGTACTACAGCGCCGGTGTACATGTGCACACCGCAGCAACCATGTGCAAAACAGCGCCTGTGTACACCGCAACGCTTGCGTGCACCGCGGCGCCTGTGCACGCCACAGCGCCTGTCTACACCACAACATCCGCATGCAACGCAGCGCTATTGTACACCACAATGCCTGCGTACATAGGACAGGTCGAAAAAGCATGTACGTGAGGATTTGCTGCGGAAGCGCCACGCCAAGAAAGTGTTGATAATCGAATGCGACGTTACCTCCTCCTCCTTTTCTCCTCCTCCATTTCCTCTTCCTCCGCCTCCTCCCCCTCCTCCTCCTACTCCTCCTCCTCCTCCTCCTCCTCCTCCTCCTCCCCCTCCTCCTCCTCCTCCTCCTTCTCCTCCTCCTCCTCCTCCTCCTCCTTATCCCCTGTAATGAGGGTTGGCGCTACAGCGTACGCGCGCAACTCAGCGTGCACCGCAGAATGGTTTCGGACGGCCAATTTAGTTGGAGCCTCCTGGACGCAGATGGGAGGAGTTACGGTGATGCGGGCGAACTCGGAAGGACTCGTAGATTCCCCTGGCGCTCCCTTGTCCATAAGGATTATGTTATTGTGTTTTCGGTGGAATCCACAAGCGCTCCATTTTGTCATAACGACTCCTTTTTAACATTCTACATACAACAGTGATGCTGTGTTGCACACGGTTGCTGTGGTGCACACTAGCGCCGCGGTGCACACAGGCACTGCAATGCACGCAGGCACTGTGGTGTACACTTCTGCGTTGCACACAGCTGATGTAGTGTACGCAGGCGCTGTGGTGTACACAAGAGCTGTGGTGCCCGCGCGCGCGGTGGCACAAACTGACGCTGTGTTGCACGCGGCTGCTGTGGTGTACATAGGCGGTGTGGTGTACACAGCCCCTGTGGTGCACGCAGGCACTGAGGTGTACACAGGCGTTGTGGTGCAGATCGCCACCTATATGCTGGTGCCACCCGTCCTCCGTCATTCCTACGCATTCCCAGGCGCCGCCGGCGCGAAGCGTGACGTCATCGACCCCCTCCCCCCCCAAATGATTGCCGTCATCGGCCCGGAATAAATAATAAAAAAACAGGCTCTAACCGCGTCCGCGCGCACGACGACGATGAGCGAGGAGCGACGAGCCACGAGCCACGAGCTACGAGCGACGACGACGACGACGACGACGACGACGACGACAACGTCGACGACGACGACGACTGCGGACCAGAATCCTATGCGGATTCCCACCCGGACACCTACGCGGATCCCAATGCGCACGGCGGCAGTCCCCGGAGCGCGCTGGGGGGAGGGAGCGTTACGTCATGGGGGGGGGGGGGCGGGGGCCATGACGCCCGTCATGCCCCAAGCAATAAAGAAATGGTCTCTAAGCGGGTGCGGTTCAGGAGGGAGGAGGAGCACTGGGACGAGGACCTTGAGGAGGCGGCGGCCAGGCTGACCAAGGCCGCTCGCCCCCGAGGCTCCGAGGAGCCCGTGTCCCCCTCCCCTGCCCCCCCACTCGCGTACCAGGACGGGGGGGACGCCATGGAGGACTGGTCCTCTGGTGGGCCGCGCCCGAAGGCCCCTTGGCCCCTTGGCCCCTGGCCCCGTCCCCCGCCGTCGGCCCCTGTGGGCCTCCCCCCTCTCGCTGCCCCTGTGGGCCTCCGCCCTGCAAAGAGGGCTCGGACCTCTGGGGGTCCGCTGCGGGTGGGGGTCCCGGGCCGCGCGTGATGCTGATCTCCCTGATGTCCCCCTCCCCGCTCAAGGCCCTGTTGGGCCTAGCAGCGCTCGGAGGCACCAGGTCCGCGCTTGCTGGAGCTGCCCTAACATTCTGCTCTGGGCGCCGCGCGCGGGCCCGGCCGACGGCCCCGCGCTCGCGGCTCCAGGGCCACTGCGAGGGCATCGCGTCCAGTAATGGCGCCACCTGTTGTGAGTCCCTCGAGGGGCGGCGGGGGAGCGGCGGGGGGACCCGTCCGCTTCTCTCTTCGGACGATGCCTGCTTTGGGCTTCGTCTTAGGTAGCTCTTTCTAGCTTTTTTGTCCGATCCCGTCGAGTCGCGCGTGCTCGTCCTTTTTTCTGCTCGTTGTTCTGTCTCTGCTGCTGCTCTGCGCACTCGCTTCGGTCTGGAAGGTGCCTCCTCGTCCACCTCCTCGTCCTACTCCTCGTCCTCCTCCTTACGATGAATTCTCTCCTTCCTCAAAAGATCAATACGAATCGCATCACTACTAGTCCTACGATCAGCACAACGATTTATAGACGTACGAATATTAGTAGTAGCAATATGATTACCATTGTGTGTCGGATCAGTATTAGTAGTAGCATTGCGTTTACTGGTAGTGGTGCTGGTATTACTCGTATAATTAGTGCTCTATTTGCTTTTAGCAGTAATCGTATGAGCATTGTCCGTCGCCTGCTTCATTATGGTACTGAAGAACTCATAGTGATGTTCGTAGTCTTAATATTCGAAGTAGTGTTCTTTGTACGACTAGTGGTACTACTGTTCGTAATTCCAAGACTTAATACAGCTATCATTGCTGTTGCTAGTAATCCTAAAAAGTATTAGCAGTGGGGTGGATATTATGTGTGCTCGTCGATTCTGCTTCATGGCATCATGGTTATTAGTATCGTATGCGCTGTGGTCGCCCTGGTCTTGTGATTAATATGGCTGGTCCTCTTGGTAGTAGTGATGATAGTATTCGTAATGTGCGTGTCCGTCCTCTCTATTATGTGTCTTAGTAGTAGTCGTCATGCTCGTGATACTAATACTCTTATGTTCCGGGTTTGGGTTATGTGTACTGTCCGTCTTCATCTTAGTATTTGCAATGTCCTTCGTCGTCTCAGTATTGGTACGAGTGCTCGTTGTAGTTCTAATGAGCCATACGACGGCTCCACCCGTTCGGTATAGTTCATGTCGTCATACGTATGTTAGTATGGATAGTGTGGTTGTTATTAAATCGTAGTGGATTATTATTATGCGTATGACGCGTCTTGCCATTATGAATAATATTCTTACCCTGTGGAAAATTATTATCATTCTTCTTCATCCTCGTCCTCCTCCAGGTATGTATTCCTCTTCCTCCTCCTGCGCTCCCTCCTCCTCCCCTCCCCCTCCTCCTCCTCCTCCTCCTCTTTCTCCTCCTCCTCCTCCCTCCCCTCCTCCTCCTCATCCTCCTTCTCCGCCACCTCCTCCTCCTCTTTCTGCTCCTCCTCCTCCTCCTCCACCTCCTCCTCCAACTCCTCCCCCATTCCCGCTCCCCCTCCGCCTCCGCCACCTCCTCCTCCTCCCTCTCCTCCTCGTCCTCTCGTCCTCCTCCTCCTCCTCCTCCTCCTCCTCCTCCTCCTCCTCCTCCGCCTCCTCCTCCTGCTCTTCCTCTCCTCCTCCTCCTCCTCCTCCTCCTCCTCCTCCTCCTCCTCCTCCTCCTCGCTCTCCTCCTCCTCCTCCTGCTCATCCTCGTTATCCTCTCTGTCAAACGAGCAATGACGGTAGGCATTAGTTTCATTCATTACCAATATCATTGCCACAGCCAACACCAATGTCACTGTCGTCGTCAGTCATTAGCAGCAGCAGCACCAGCAGCACCATCATCTGCATCGGCAAAATATCGTCATCATCATCATCATCATCATCATCATCATCATCAGCATCATCATCATCATCATCATCATCATCATCATCATCATCATCAGCATCATCATCATCATCATCATCAGCAGCAGCAGCAGCATCAGCATCATCATCATCAGCAGCATCATCATCAGCATCAGCATCAGCATCAGCATCATCAGCAGCATCACCATCATCCTCATCATCACTAGCACCCGCATCACTACCATCATCATCATCATCATCATCATCATCATCAGCAGCAGCAGCAGCAGCATCAGCATCATCATCGTCATCATCATCAGCAGCATCAGCATCATCGTCGTCGTCATCGTCGTCGTCGCCGTCACCGTCGCCGTCATGATCATCTTCAACCTCATCCTCCTCATCCTTCTCCTCGTCCTCCTCCCAGACCTTTCACGTCACGATTTTTGGGTGGCGTAGGTCCCTGAACTTATCGACCGCATCCCGACAATTTTGGTCTCAATCCCAGGGTCCGAAACGGGCCCCCAAAGGCCCCCCAAAGTGAGAAACAAACAGCCGTTCGTGGCACTTGACATGTGGGCTACTCGTGTTCCTCCCCCCCCCTCTCCTCCTCAAAAACCACACCCATGGGCGACTTCCAGTCAGGGTTTCGAGGCAGATCCGGCCGTGGTGATGAGGAGCCCCTGGGAGGCTCTCACTCAAACTTCTACAACCACAGATCCCTGAGACCTCCTCGACCTCCTCCTACTCCTCCTCCTCCTCGACCTCCTCCTCGACCTCTTCCTCCTCCTCCTCGACCTCCTCCTCCTCCTCCTCCTCCTTGACCTCCTCCTCCTCCTCCTCCTCCTCCTCCTCCTCCTCCTCCTCCTCCTCCTTGTCCTCGCCGAGGGCTGGCCGGGAGGACGGGAGGACGGGCCGACCTCGTCCAGGAGGTCGAGCAGCTTTGACCGCGCATCTTCCCGCAGGACCTGACCGGAAGGGAGAGGCGCGCGGAGAGGCACCAGAGCTCCCCCTCGACGACGAGGACGAGGACGACGAGGACGAGGGAGGCTCGGAGGTCGGAGGATGGCGCCCCACCGCCCACGAGGCGCCTCCCGGAGGCTTCGCGAGGCCCCGTGACGCGTATGCTGCGGGCTCTTGTCGTGTCGACACCGGTGTTGCTTCCTGTCACCGCGGGGATCGTTCGACCTTGAACGATGGGCCGTCTCCGAAACGTCAGATTGTTCAGAATCGACCGATCCTGGGTCGCCAACGGCGTTCAGCGATGATTGCTGGCGGCGGGGCCGCCGCAGGTCGGCACGACGCGACCCTGCCGCGTGCCGATGGTCCTCAGGACGTGTGCCAGCGCCAGCGTGTGCTCGTCCACCGAAGCCCTCCGATACGACGCAGGTGGCACCCGTGCGTGCTGTCGGCGGAGCGCCAAACGGAGTAAACGTTTTTTGGTCTGCGGGTCGGGAGCGGGCCCCTTCCGGTCAAGAGCTAAACGGGGCGCGAGTAGCCCTAATTGGGAAGGCAGGGCGCGGGCGGGCAGGGCCTCAGGCGGCCGGAGGCCAAACGGAATAAACACCCATTGGGCTGAAACACGTCCTGACGATCATGGTATCCAAGCCTGGCCCATCCCAGGGAGGCACGGACGTGTCTGCCCTGCTGAGCACTCCCTTTTTAGCGTTGACTGCCCAAAAAGAAATGCGCTTGAGCACCACAGGCCGAGGGAGGCGAAGCCGCCGAGCCCAGGGCGGAGGGGGCGGGAAGCGGAGCAGGATGGGGCACTCGGGCGTGCGCTGACGACCAGCCTCGGCTCCCTCAGAGGCGGGCGGAATCGATCGGGGGGCCGATCGAAAGGCCACGAAAAACGAGCAAGCGAGGACCCGAAGAGCCGAGACAGGTAGGGAAACGAACTCTATACACCGACGCTTTTTCCGACCCAGCGCTGAAGTTCGCACAGGAACGCGGATCCTGGTGTATACGGGATCCTGGTGCATATTGTTTTCGTTGTTTCCCCATGAAGACGGGGAAAAGTATACACCAGACCACCCCGACGTCGTCCCCGACCCTCAAAAAGCCTTGGGATTGAAAAACCGCCCGCCACTGGTAGTGTACATGTTCCAGTTTCCGAACAGGACCGACGCGAGGAAGAGGGGGGGTAGTAGCGGCAGAAGGAGCGAGAGGCAGGCGAGAACGAAGGGGAGGAGAGGGCCGAGCCCAGGCGGCGCCTGCGCGAAGCGCGCGCGAGGTGGTTCCCACCAGGGCTGAACCTAAACGGTGTTTTTCGTTTTCGTCTTGTTTTCATTTTCCCTCGTTTTGTCTTCAATCTACCTCTACCACTAAACGAAGTCGAAACGAAAACGGCCCACGAAATCGCCAAAACACCGTTTAGGTCCAGCCCTGGTTCCCACCAGCGGCCAGAGAAGTAGGAGGAAGTACCCATTCTCAGAATTACCGCACTGTCCGCTTCTGGACGCACATGTCTGGCACCTCCGCTTCTCCTTCGCTCCTCGCATGTCCTCATTCAGTGGAGGCCTGTGGATGCAGGTCACCGATCATGCCTCACGACACCCTTTCAACGCTACAGCCTGCACGGCCAAAGCTGGCGCGACGTCAACAGAAAGGCGGAGGTCGAGAGAAGGGAAGGAAATGAGGAGGAGAAGGAGGAGGATCGAGGATCTAGGGTCGAGGAGGAGGAGGAGGAGGAGGAGGAGCAGGAGGAACGAGGATCGAGGAGGAGGATCGAGGATCGGGGAAGATCGAGGATCGATGCCCTCGGACGCCTCTGGCCTGGCCTGAGCCTCGGGAGCACTCCAGCCAAGGGCATCCCGCGGAGGCCTCCGGAGAAGCCTCCGCAGAAGCCCCCAAAGCCCCGCCCCCTCCGCCCCGGGATCGGCGCGCCCGCTGCCCACCACCCCTACCGAGCCGAGCCGAGCTCGCTGTCTTCCTCCTTCGCCTTCTCATCCTCATCCTCCTCCTCCTCCTTTTCTTTTCTCTTCGCCTCCTCCACCTCCATCCATACTCCTTATCAGCAACTCCTCCCCGTCGCACTCTCGGACGTGTCGGTAGGGCGGGCCAGGCATTTCGACTGTGACTTCTTCAGCGAAGCTTGACATGTGCAAATGTCTGAGGACGGGCGGTTTTCAAATGTAACCTTCGCCTTAGCGCCGCGCACACTCGTCTTAAAGGTTTGCAACAGTTTCAAAAATGAAAGGCGGCTCTGTTCCAAAATGTGGCTCTCGCCTGAGCGCCTCGCACATTCGTTTGGAAAGTTCGCAAGAGTCCCAATGATTCGCATGATCGAAGTTTCACGAATGGTGTTCCGGCGAGATTGAGGATTGCCCTGACACAACAAAAATGTTTATTCCTGATGTTGAAGTCCGCGGAGTGGCGTTCTGGCGCGATTAACTGACAGGACGCGACCGTCACGTTGATTCGAGACGCTGAAGTCCCAGGAATAGCGTTCTCGCGCGAGTGAGGCTTCTCAGACGGTTGTCTTCCAATCGAGCATTTCCCGTAATGAAGCCTGACCAGACAAGAACGGGAAGCGTCCTTGTGTGTCCTTGCCTTATGAGATATCCTACGTTCTTAGTATGTGCTGCGCAAGTCTGTCGTGGCGTGTTTGCGCTTGCGCGTGCGCGTGCGTGCGTGGAATGTGTGCATGTGTCCGTGCGTGTTGGTCTGCGGCACTGATGTGTTATGCCGTGCTGCCCTGCCGTGCTCCTGCGGTTTGCGTGAACGTATGCTGCCTCTCTGTGTGTGCCTGCGTGTATGTGTCTGTGTGTGCGTGTGCGTGTGCGGGTGTGTGTGTATGCCTATGTGCGTGTGCCTGTCGGTGCGGCTGTGTGAATCGATGTTGTATGTGTTCTGCCGTGCTCCTGCGTGTTGGTTGGTTGTGGGGCCATAAAGGCAAAGTGCTCCTGCGTGTTCTGCCGCGCTCCTGTGTGGTCTGCCGTGTTCCTGTGTATTCTGCCATGGTCCTGCTACGCCGTGCTCCTATGTGTTCTGCCGTGCTCCTGTGTTCTGCCGTGCTCCTGTGTGTTCTGACGTGCTGTTGCTTGTTGTGCCGCGTTCCCATGTGTGTTGTGTGATCTGCCGCGCTCCTATGTGTCGGCCGTGCTCCTGTATGTTCTGCCGTGCCCCGATGTACTCTGCGTGCTCGGCCGTGCTCCTCGTGGTCCTGCGTCTTCTGTCGTGCCCCTATGTGTTCTGCCGTGCTCCTGCGTGTTCAGCCGTCAATTCTGCCGTGCACCTATGTGTTCCGCAATGCTCCTATGTGTACTGCCGCGTGCCTGCGTGTTCTGCCGTGCCCCTGTGTGTTCTGCCGTGCTCCTGCGTGCTCAACCGTCAGTTCTGCCGTGCTCCTGTGTGGTCTGCAGAGTTCCTATGTGTACTGCCGTGCTCCTGCGTGTTCTGCAAGGCTCCTCTATGTTCAGCCGTGCTTCTGTGTGTTTCTGCCATGGTCCTGATATGCCGTGCTCCTGTGCGTTCTGCCGTGCTCCTGTGTATTCAGCCATGCTCCTGTGTGTTCTGCAATGCTGCTGCTTGTTGTGCCGCGATGCTATGTATTCTGTGTGATCTGCCACGCTCCCATGTGTGTTATGATGTTATCCCGCGTGTTCTGCCGTGCTCATGTGTACTCTGTGTTCGACCGTGCTCATCGTGTTCCTGCGTCTTCTGTCGTGCCCCACATGTGTCTCTGCCGTGCCCCTGCGTGTTCGGCCGTCAATTCTGCCGTGCACCTATGTGTTCCACAATGCTCCTACGTGTACTGCCGTGCTCCTGTGCGTTGAAGTTAAAGTTAAAGACGGGGGCCTTCAAGGCTAAAGGGAAAGGGAAACCCCTTCGAAACCAAAACGGGGCAGCCCCTGCGGGCCTGGGCAGGCGGAAAGGCCAAACCCACGCAGACGCCCCACACACACACACACACACACACACACACACACACACACACACACACACACACACACACACACACACACCACCACCACCACCACCACCACCACCACCACCACCACCACCACCACCACCCCACCCACCCCACCCCACCGAGGCGAGACCAGATCTACATAAAGAATGCAACTGCACGCCTCACTCAGCCTGGCCGAAGACCTGAGCCGCCTCGAGCAACCGCAGCCCCTCGGCCAGATCGCCGCTCAGGATCGCCGCCTGGGCCGCCTCGGCCGCAGCCAGCCGCCCCCGCGCTCGCGCGCCAGGGGCATCGGCCTGGAGGCCGCGTTCAGCGCCCTCGCGCCTGGAGCCCGCGCGCGCGCAAGCTCGCACTCCGCGGCCTGCTCGCTGCCGTCCGAGAATTCGCCGCGCAGGAACCGCCCGTGCTCAGACCCGAGATCCTCGAACTCCGAGCCCCCCACGGAGCTGCCCTCGCCCTCGGCAGCCTGCCCCTCGGCATCTGGACAACCTGCACTCCCGAGGCGGACGCCGAGAGCGCGGGCCTCGGCCAAGTCCAGGAGCGACTCAACTCCCGATTTCGGCCCCGTGGCCGCGCACGCCACCGCCGCCACCGAGAAGCCGTCCAGGAACGAAACGTTGCCCCCCTCGGACCCGCGCAGCTCCTCGGGGCCTACCTCGGAGCCGTCGGCCGCGAGCGCTAGCGCGCCGCGCTCCTCCTCGGGTTCGGGCTCGCCCCCACCACCGCGCCTGGAGCCCGAACGCCCCAGCCAGGCAGCGCGCGCCAGCTCGCACCCCGCGGCCAGCTCGCTGCCGCCCGAGAACTCGTCACGCAGGAATTGCCCGTGCTCCGACCCGAGATCCTCGAACTCAGACTCCCCCTCGAACTCCGAGCCCCCCACTAAGCTGCCCCCGCTCCGCCGCGGCCGCCACGCCGAGCAACGCGCCGCAGCAGCGCGATCCTCCTCGGCCTCGCAGCCGAACTCCGCGATGACCTCCTCCGCCTCGGCGCTCTCGGCGCCGCCCTCGCCGCAGCCCTGCTCGGCCAACTGCGCCACGCCGAGCTCCTCCAGCAGCGCGGCCCAGCGCGCCCACTCGGGGAGGCACGGCTGGGCGCTAGACCGCAGCGGGGCCCTCGCGGCCGCCACTCGGGCGCTGGGCAGCCGCGCTGGCGCCTCGGCCACGCAAGCACCCAATGCGCACTCAACCGGCGGCTGCACTTCGCAGACGCAGGTCCCCACCTCACACGCGGCGGCACCCTGCGCCGCACCGCCGCGCCCCTCACCAGGAAGGGGCCCTCCTGGGAGGCGCGGCCCGTCTTGAGCCCTGCGCCATGCCTGCGGCGGGGCGTCTGCCGACGGGCATCGCTCGGCATGCCACGCGACGTTCCGCCGCTGCCGCTGCGCCCTGGTTTCGCGGCGTCCGCGGACGCGCGCAACCAAGGCGGGCCGCGCGATGGCTTCGCGGCGGCGGGCCTCCGCCTCCGCGGCGTCGCCGCGCGAACCGCACGCCAGCTGCGCTTGGAGGCTGGCGATGACTTCCTTCGCCTCCCGCAGCTCCCTGCCAAGCCGTCTCACCAGGTTGTCCGCCGCCCAGCGGGCCGCCGCGACACCGGCGAGCACCTCCCGCACCATTCTGCCCAAGCGCCCGCGCGCGGCGCGCGCCCGGGCACGGCTTGAGCCAAAATGGCTACGGATGCTCCCGCGTGTTCTGCCGCGCTCCTGCTTGGTCTGCCGTGCTCCTATACGTTTTGTCTGTTATGCCGAGGTTGTGCTTGTTCTGTCGTGCTCTGCCGTGCTCCTCCTGCTCCTGTGTTCTGCCGTGTTCCTGCGTGTTCTGCAGTGCTCCTGTGTGCTCTGCCGTGTTCCTGTATGGTATGTGTCCTGTGTGTTATGCCGTGCACCTGCGTGCTCTGCCGTGCCCCTGTTGTGTGTTCTGCAGTGCTCATGGATTCTGTGTTATGTCATGCTCCTCGTGATCATGTGTGTTCTGCCTTGCTCCTGTGCGCGTTCTTGTTCTCCTGTTTGTTATGCCGTGCTCCCGTGTGTTATTTAGGTTTTGCCGTGCTCCTGTGTTCTGCCATGATCATGTGACGTTCTGCCGTGATCTCGTGCGTTCTGCAGTGCTTCTGCGCGTTGGGCGGCCGCGGCCCTGCCCATGTTCTGAAGATGTCCCAAGCGAAAAGCTCAGTTTTCACGCGCATGGTCTTAAATAAGCCGGTTCAGCATCTCATGTGTTCGAGGATGTCTTCCACGCGCTTGTTAAACTCACTGCTTTCATGCGCTGGTGGATGTCAAGCGAAATGCTTATTTGTGTGGAAAACACTGTTGCGAACAACTCATTGTGGTGAGGATGTCTCGAGCAAAATACGAACTTCAGGAATCTCGAGGGCGCTCCTGGGGTCATGTTGGACCTCGGTTGGGGTTCGTTCGGGGTTGCTTCGGCGCCGTCAAAAACATGTCAATGCGAGCTCGCACACCTATGTTTGTTGGTGTGTTCCTAACGAAATCGTCATTTCTAGAAGCCTAGCGTGGGCCGCCTGGAAGCCCTTGTTCAACAGCAATACCAAGACAATCTTAGAACAGCAGTTTTCAAAACGATGCTGTTGTATGTGGTCGTTGTTTGAGGATGTCCCCAGCGATATCGTCATTTTCGGCAGTCATCAGGGCGCCCTTGGAGCCATGTTGAAATCCTCTTGGGGCTTTCGATTCTTCCTCCTGGAGCACTTCAAGAACAATGTCAAGCGATGTTGAGAGCATCTCATACGTTCGAAGATGCCCCCAACGAAATGAAAATATTCTGCCGTGTTTTTTTGTTTCTGGCCCGCCGTGCTGCCAAGCATTGTTCTGAGGATGTCCCAGCGAAAACGCCGTTTCAACCTAAGCGGCAGTAAAACACCTCCGTCGACATTTCGTTGTTGTGAAGGTGTCTCAAGCGAAACGCAAATCTTACAGATTCCTGATTTTCGTGGCGATCAGCTTTCGGAGGGTGTCTGGAGCGAAACGTTTGTTTCTGTTGAGCGCGATGTCGATGACATGTCATTTTAATGAGGATGCCTTCGGCGAGATCGCTATTTCGAAGACTCCGCCAACCCTGGACCTGGCCGGACAAGAACGGGAAGCGTCCTTTCGCGTCCTGGGCTTATGGAATATCCTACGTTCTTAATATGCGCTCCGCGGTGTGCGTGCCGGGAACGCGGCTACACCTCTGCTATGCATTCTGCAGGGCGACTACCACCTCCGCCACGACCCTGTCCTTTGCGGACGAAGCCGCGACGCGCAGCTCGCATGAATCTCCGGACTGGTTTGTCTCATGTGTCGTTTCCACCTTCTCTTGGCGCGATGAGAACCTAAATATAAATCACGCGTGGCTGCGCCATCACTGGCGGGCAGGTCTGACCAGACGAGGAGTTCGGCAACGGTAGCACAAATTTCAGCTGCGCCAGAAGCCTCCCGCACCCGAGGGTGCCCGCACCCACTTGACAAGGGGTGCGGCACCCCCCGCGCCGTCCAGCCTGGCGGTGCCAGTCTGAGCCGACGCGCGGGGCGCCAGGGATGCAAGTACCCCCAGGAGCGGGAGGGCGGGGCGAAAGCGCGCGCGCCGTCCGCCACGGCGGGACGCAAGCGCACATGCCTGCGAGATGCAAGCACCAATGCCTGCACATCGCACGACCCCGAGGCGCGCCGCGAACCGCCCCGACGCGATCCCCGCGGCGCGCCTGCACGGGGCGTTCGACGCAAAGCGAGCAGAAGAGCAGACTAGCCACGCGCGCGACGACGCACCCCCCTCGCGCGCGGGCCCTTCGCGCGGGGCCGCGCGCCGCGAGGCACGCGCCGTCGCTCCCCCCCCCCCTCGCGCGCGCAGGCCCTTCGCGTGGGGCCGCGCGCCGCGAGGCACATGCTGACGCCCCCCCGCCTCGCGCGCGCGGGCCCTTCTCGCGGGGCCGCGCGCCGCGCGGCGCAGGAAAGCGGGAGGCGGCCCGCGCGCCCAGCTTGCCCGCCCGCGCGCGGGCCAGGCGCGGGCGCGAAATTTGTGCCCGCGCACAACGCAGCACAAGCGAGCGCGCGCGCTTTCGATGGCGTTGGGCGCCCACCACAAATTTCAGCTGCGCCAGAAGCCTCCCGCACCCGAGGGTGCCCGCACCCACTTGACAAGGGGTGCGGCACCCCCCGCGCCGTCCAGCCTGGCGGCGCCAGTCTGAGCCGACGCGCGGGGCGCCAGGGATGCAAGCACCCCCAGCCGATGCATGCTGGTGCACCGCGCAGCGGCGACGCGCGCGGCACGCGCACCCCTTGCGAAACGGGCGTTGCGTGCGGCGGCGCCGCGGTGTTGTGACACGCAGCGGCGGAGGCGTACGCGCGAGGGCGTCGCGCGACGCCTGGGTCGCCATTGCCTAGGCAAGTTCGTCCTCGGACTCAGCTAGATGCGCCTCGACCACGGCGCCGAGTTCGAGTTGCGTCAAATCGAGGTACGACAGGAACGCGGGCGAGGACCATTCGCCCGCTTGAAGGATCTCGCGCAAGGTGCCTCCCCTCTGCTGGAGGTCCAGTGCGTGCCCGCGCCGCAGGTCGTGCGTGCGATAGAGCGCCGCGTCTTTGACGCCGAGCTGACCGAGGAGAAAGCGCAGCGTGCTCAGCGAGCTGGCCGCGCTAATGTCCGCGAACGGCCTGGTGCCCACGGGCAGGTCCGCGAACCATGCGCCGAGCGCGTGGACCGGGCACGTCTTGGTGCAGCGCGCGCACCAGCACGCTCGCTGCAGCACGGACCCGAATTGCTTGTTCTTGCGGCGCGCCAATTTGAGCTGCAGGAGGCCGTCGCACAGAATGAGGGAAGCCCCTGCGCCCTGACGAAAGGCGACGCCGTCGAACGAAATGCCCAGGGCCTCCGAGGGAAGGCGCAAGAGAAACACGTACGTGACAAGAAAGAGCTGCGCGAAAACGGCGGACTCGTGCCGCTCTTTTGCCAGATTTAGCAGCGCGCAAACTGCGTCCTCCCTGATGAATAGGGGCGCCCTGGGCAGGAAAGCGCCGCGCTTGCGAATCGCGCATTTGGCGCGGCGAAGGGGCGTGTCACGAAAAACGTCTACAGGGAGATCGCAAACCTGACAAGCCAGCTTGACGTGAGAGACATAATTGGAAAAGGTCTGGTCGGAGCGAAACAGCAGCGACCACGCGAGCAACCCGTCGGCAGACGGCGGCAGCTCGCGCCCGCGCAGCGCAAGAGCCTCGCGCGCGAACGCGATCCATGCTGCCACGCCGCTCTTGAAAGAGGCGATGGAGCGCGGGCATGCGCCCAGGAGGGCCGCTGCGCGCGCCGAAGACAGCCACTCAGCGACGCTCGCTGGGCCTTCCTCGCTGTCAAGCCGCCGGCGAAGATAACGGAGCTCCGCGCGCGGGCCCCCGCCGCACTGTGGCGCGCGGGCCCCCTGCGCCTCCGCAATCCTTGTCTCGAGGAGCGCGTCAACGGCAATGCCCCCGGCGGCCTGCGCCCGCGCCGGTACCGGCCTCTGGACTTGCGCTGCCTCCTGCGCGCGCACGCGGGCGCGATGCAGCAGGGGCGCGGCGCGAAGTGCGCGAACCTGAAGGCTTGACGCGAGTGCGATAGCTTCCCGAATACAACGCTTTTGGCCGCCGTCGAGGTCCGCGCCCAGGAATTGGAAATCTTTGAATTTGGCCCCAGCGAGCGCGGACGGGCGCGACACGCTTTCGGCGGCGAGCGCCGCCGCGATCGCATCGAACCACGCCGCATCGTGCCTGCCTTGGCCCGCGGCTCTCTCCAGGAAGACACGCATGGAAGCGACGTGCCCAACCGTTGCCGTTCCGACGGTCGGCGCGCGCCAAGCAGTGCCTCTGCCGCCGAGCCCTGCTTGCCGAGCGCACGTGGAGCGGCTGCGCTACGCGCGACCTTCGCGGACGCAACACGAAAACGAATAAAACAACTTTCATGCGCGCGCGCCGACGCAAGACGATTTGGCGCGCAAGCCGAACTGTCGGCCGACGGACGCTCACGCGCGGCGCAGCGACACCCGCGCGGCCGAAAGAGATGCCCAGGCATCGGGCTTCCAGAATGCCTCGCTAAGACGAGGCAGCACGAAAGAAGCGCCGATCTCGCGAAGGAGCCAGTACTGCTCCCGCGACGGCAAATCGGCAACGTTTAGCTTCGAGGGGACGCGGTTGACGCGGAGCGAGACGCGCAATTGCGCCGCCTGCAGCCACAAAGAATTGATGAGACACGTATAGTCCCACTCTTTGGAAGCGCCTTTCCGCGCGGCAGCCTCGGCACCGACGTTGTCGGACCAGAGGCGCACGCGCCTGCCCGCGAGCGCGTTGCTGAATGTGGAAAGGCCAAACGCGATCGCAAGAAGCTCGAGGGACATAATCTGCGCATCGCCCCTTTGCTTGAAATGGCGCAGAACGCAAACGGGGGGAGCCCAATCGGAGTAGGAAGCCCGCCCGTCGAGGAAGAGCACAGCCGCGACGCGGGGCGGCGTGCTGCGCGCGTCGACAAAGAGCTGCGCTGCCTCGCGCTGATCTGGCGCCCAGACACGGGTCTCGCAGAGCTCCAGCGCTAAGACTTCTGCCCACCATTCGAGTGCGACGCGCAGCTGCTGCGGCACCACCGC